GTCTTGAAAAGTTAAATTTACATTTAAATGTATCAAATTGACTTAACTTGTACTTTATTATAAATAATTATTGATCTGTGGCTTGACTTATTTAAAAAAAATAAAAGTTTGGTTTAATCTGTTAAAAAAAAAGACAACAAAAATTTATTCGAATAGAAATACGATCAACAACACTAATAATTTTATAAAGATTCATAAATTTAATGTATATTCAAAATAATATAATATAAAACGAAATCATTCAAAAAATCTATTTAACCAATAAACTAAAGTAGAATGATCATGGACCACGAAGTGAAAATTAGGTTGAGTTTAATGAATAAGTAGTATAAGAAATACAAAATAAAAATAAGAATTACTATATCATGCCAACCTAAATAGCTCTAAGGCTAGATTTTTCAATTATAGTCTAGGATCTTTTTATTAAATGAACGTTTACACACAAATGTGTGTCCAACAATTCAAAAAGTCGCTTCCTCTTTTAACACCCCTACAAACGACAAATAGAGATTGTACCATACCATGTCGTATTCTTTAATAGGTTAACGACAACCAGAGAAAAGGATCCATTGGTAGAACAATTATAATTCAGAGGCAGATTCGAAATCTTTTAAAGTTTATGATGCTAATACGCAGAAAGATAAAAATTCAGTGTAATTATATACATATTTCTCAAAATAGTATAATGAAAATAATATTATTAATCCCAAAAACTTCTTTATGCATTATATAGCCAAGCATGCACAATTGTTGTGACTCCTATTTTCTACTCAAATTGCAACAACATTGAAAGAAAAACAATGATCATATATACTATTCCATGCGAAAGAAGGGTGCAGAGTGCATGCATACGAATTGCAAAAGAGAGTAGAGAGAGAGAGAGATAGAAAGAAACCAAAGAATTGGTCGATGACAGCAGTGTGAAGAATGGACATTTTATCCCCAGTCCGGTGAAAATGGTCACTTAGGTTTATGTCCAAGTCTTCAACGAAGTACTTGAGCAAGTCTGTCTTGCCAAGAGCAGCTGCTCTGTACACTGCGGTTTCTCCAAGTTTGTTTCTCATTTGTAACAATGGCTCATACTGTTGTGACTCTATGTCCATGGATTGGTAAAACAGTATGCTCTCAGTCATTTCCACCTCTCCAGTGAAGGCCACATCGTGAAGTGGTGTGTTCCCCATGTCATCCTGCATCCTCAGCACATGCTGAATGTTTGAGGGATCCACCATTTGAAGCATCTCCTTATACATTATTGGGCTGCCACAATGAGCTGCATAATGAAATGGAGTGCTTTGATGCAAGTCAATATGCTTCTCCAATAGATCTCTGTGTTCACTGAAAAATTCCTTGAAACCTTTCCAATCGTATCTCTTCGCCAATATATAAGGCTTTCTCATTTTTTCAATTGGCCCAATCTGCCTTGTCATCATTGTTTCTTTCTTTCCGTCTTTCTCACTACTAGCTTGCTCAAATTAATTTAACTTACTGATAGCAGTAGCACTAGTGATGGAATTCATGATTGATTACAATGTCTTGTTATATTTTGGAAAGGAATCACGCATATGCTTTGCTTAATTATTTTGAGCATATATATATGCCTTGCTTATTTTACTAATAAAGGGCATAAGCAAGAATAATTAAAGTTAGAGGTTTGCTTTTAATTTGGAACATTTTTTGTTCGTCGTGTTTTGTGGTTGTGCCTATTGGCCTTCTCAATACCCACATCTAGAAGGGTATACCGTATACCTTCTAAAATTTCTATTTGTACCTCATTTTGAGGGTTCTATATTCACATGATCTCTTTTGACCTTCACATCTGTTTGTATTTATAAAGGGAAATAATAATCTCGTGTGTCTCCTTTTCTGCGGGCACTTGGAAAATCATTGTATCAACAATCATTGAGTTCAAATGATAAAAAAAATTGGTACGCTTAATGAGAGATTTCAAAATCGAGTCGTGGAAATAGAAAGAATAATTTTGAAAAAGTCCTACCAATATGAGTCCGACAAATGATTTATGTGAATACATATATAATATTTGAAAGACATGTAAAATTAATTTCATATAAATCTAGTACAATCAAAATTAATTTAAGTCATCAATTTGGATGAATGCAACGTTAAAGACATTATTTATTAACATAAAGTCTTATATTTAATATTATAAAAAATTTAAACTAGAATAGGGTGATAATTTGTGTTATTAGGTCATGTTCGTAAAGGGTCAAGGTCTAACATGAACATTTTTTTTTGGATATTAAATCTAACATGAACATTGATTCACTTAACCTGAACATGACACCATTTTTTTTTCGTGTTAAAATCTTCAATACAAATATGACTCACTTATTTTGGTGATTGATACAACATAATATGAATAACTTGTATACTGAATAGCTCGTGTATTGAATATTGCTTTTAGTAGTTAATAATAATAACAATAGTAAAATAATAATACCACACAATACAACACAACATGAATAGTTCGCTAATCAAAAACATAATTAACACACAACACATTGCAAATTTTTTTCATATAATTTAACTTTTATTAATACAAACAAGACACGAATGTGAATACCAAATAACTCTAACACAAAAATCTTGTGTTGTGTTTGTATCTTATTAGAAGGGCCGCCACCCCTAACAAGTATCAAGAGTATAAGTTTGGCATATTTGGGCTTAATAAACATACATTTCTTTTTCATACTTTTAGATTACGAAACAAAAAAACTTAAGATGTGATTCTGTGGTCACAGAAGCTTTGATACCATATTAAACAATCATCTCACTTAAAAACTTAAGATACGAAGTATCTTAATGATTTTTTATATTATATATCTCTAACATATACTGTTATGCAAGAGACTTTTGGACTTGAAACGAGAATATTGCATATGCCCATTTTGTACTGACTTAATTTCATCAGAAAGTGAAGACGATGAAAATCTAACTCGTGACCTCATGATCACATAAGCTTTAATACTATGTAAAGCAACCATCACACCTAACCGCTCAAGTTTTTATATGGTATCAGATCTGACATGACTAAGTGGTCAGCTGCCCCCGTTGTGTTAATAAAAAATTAAATATTATAAAATTTCTTATCACAGGTAAACTGGGCCTAATGCGTCATCCACCTTTCAACCCCAATAAACTCTCGTATGAGGGGACATATTAGAAAAAAATAAAACCATTAATGTAACATCACCCAATAGTTTAAACTTTTGGATTGAATTGATTTTTACATAGTTGGTGAATACTTCATACGAAAATTACAATAAAATCATAAGAATCCAAATATAATTATAATTTATCCCGTTTACCTTGCATCTATATCAATACTCTTCCCTATCTACAAATGCTCGTGTCTTTTTCTTATGTAAAGCTAGCACTTGGGAATTAGATATAGAACTAACATGAACCGGATCCAGTAAATTCGGGCATTTTCATCATGGGATCGATTGAACATCCTACGCATTCAGCCATGCATATCACGACCTATGACTTGAGAGTGGATAGAATTATCATTCTGTAACATGCCATCCCCATGAACTTGTTGCAAGTTGGACTGTACTAGACTATCGAAACAAGGCCCAATGCCACCTGACATGGGCCTCGGAGCATGATATTGGATCCTCAATCCAAAACCCTTTTAGGTAAAAAGCGTATACTCGGTTAAGGCAATACAACCCAGTTTATGAAACTCATGTTATGTTCTTTTTTAATTTTTAATTTTTTTTTGGCTCCCCGACATTCTTACAAATTTTAATTTTTTGAGGTGATTATGAGATTAATTTAAAGTGTAAGGCAGGTTAGAGATAAAAATATTTAAATACTGTTACGTTCTCTTTATACGTTAAACCTCTGAACTACATTAGATTTTTATTTACGTAGGCGTCAAGGTATCTTTAAAGTACTTTCACTGTTACTACGCCAACAATCTTTGGAGCATTCTAACAAACCAAAAGTATAGAGCAAACTATGCACTGGAGCTGAAACAAAAATACAAGTCTTCTTAATCGAGGCTCGCTAGTTCACACTACAACAAGACAAATGAAGAAAAACAAAATCAATATTGCAACAAAATTCGATAGGTATAATATTTATCACATGATAATTTTTTATGATGTTTGTAAATAATAAAATGATTTGAACTGTTTAGAATTGGTTGCCGAGGAAATATTTGAATAACTTACATGAATTTATATTTTACAAACATAGTATTACTGTTATACTAAAAGATTTCGATTGTGTGTGTATCATAAAATAAAACTATCTCTAAAATTCAAGAATAAATACACCTACACTTTAAAAATAAATTCACTTTAAAGGATACATAACTTTGCTTAGAGCTATGTTTGCATACCAAAAAGAGATGTATTTTAAGTTGAAATTTTGAATAGTCAATGTTAATAATATCTATTACTTAATATTAAAAGCCACATAAAAATGTCATCTAAGAAAAGCCACAAAATGTTTAATATATAATAATTAAACACGTTTCCTTGATCATATAATAGTTATTATGGGTATTTTAGTTTGTATTATTTTTATGGCATAAAGTATTATGCCTATCTTTATTTTAACGGAATAAAAGTAGATAAAATAGATATAAAAAAATATAGACATAATATCTTATTTTTACTTTACAAAACATGTTAAAAAATGGGATAATATATCTATTTTTTTATATCTACTCTATCTATTTTTATCCACATTATTAAATCACAATTTTAACAAACAGTGATGTGAGAGTCTACCTATTTTTATGCATATTATTATATCACAATTTTAACCAACTGGATGAGAGAAAAGATATGAGATCGGTTGAGGTTATGATTTAACAGTATATATAAAATGGATATAAAAAAGACGCTACGTTATCCTATTAAGAAGACATAAGACTGGATGAAAACATTTTTTTAATTTTTTTTAATCTAATCTCATCTTTTACGAATATAAATTTTATAATAAAATGGATAAGCGTTTAATTGTGGAGGCAGTATGCGCATGCAGAAGTTGCGACCGGGTCGGATCCGAAGCAAAGAAGGTCGAAGCTCTTTTGAGTAAGCCTCCAATTCGTTCCTTACTCGAACGCGAACGCGAACAGGCTTTACCTCAAGGTTTCTTCACTTTCACCTTTTCATAATTTCTCTACACATCTTCACCCTAATCAATTTCATGGCATCGCTATATGTGATTGATTTACCTATTTCCCGCTTCCTTTCCATGCATTTCGACACAAGTCATTCTACGATCTACTCTTTCTTTCACAAAAACAACCTATTCTCTATTGCTTCCTCCAAAAAAGAACGATTTATATATCTATAAATTATTTTTTTTTTTCATGTTTTCTCAGAATCTTATGTGATATTTTGGGGATCTTAGACTAGTCCTTGGGATTATTGGAATTGCGTTTGCGTGATAGAGTGAAAAAGCCTTTTCTGGTTTTATGAATGAGAAATTTCGTGAAAAATCTATACAACTTGTGGTTTGGAAATTGCATAAATATGTGGAGGTTGGATATGTTCAAGCCTACTCAATCATTCATGGCAGTTGGGAAAACATCTGGTAGAAATTTGGACGTATTAGAAAGGCTAAGGCACAATTTTTTTTTTGTCTAGGAAGTTTAGTGACTCTAGGAGTTTGAGGTTAGTAAGCTCTTTAGATTAGTCTTTTTTTTTTCTTAAACTACTAGGCCTGTTTACACTAGGATTAAGCTATGCACAAGGATTGCCCTCACCCTGGGAGTATTTTTTTTTTTTCAAAAAATATTTAAGACTTAAGAGAGTTTTTTTACTTAATGATTATAGGTGCTCTTAAAATTAACTCCCAAGATTTTTCAAAGTTGTATGAGAATCTTTGAGTTGATCTTACTGGGAAACAGTTCCCTTGGATATTTTAAAAATGTTTGAGATGATAATGATATCCAACCTATCTGAGTTTTGATTCGAAATTATCTTCAGTTCTGTTTATTCTGCCAAGTAACTTTGAAGGAATTCTAGTGCTGAGAAATTCAAGGAATTTAATTTGAATCAATAGTAGCAAAATAAACGATCAATATTCAGTTTTTAATTTTATTCCCTTGTGTCAGTGAATGATAACCTGTTACAATCTTTAACAGTTACGCCCTAGTACAATTTCAATATGGCGTAGAACCAAAAATGGAATTGAAGACAGAACTATTACGTATCTATATTCTGTAAGCAAGACTATACTTAATATCAGTGGATTTAAAATTGTTCAAACATTGGAATCGGATAGATGATGCATTTATTCATTATACATCTAGTTTTTATATCAAAATGAGTGTCTTTTGCAAAGTCTTTGCAAACTGACTCATAAGCCTCCTATAATCACATAATTGAATTTTGGTTCTAAATTACAGTTTGCATAGAGAACCTTTTGGTCTCAAATGCAATGTTGATTAAATTATTATTTAAATATTGAAATTGGGCATACTATTGTATCTCCTTTGTTTATAACTTTGTTAGAATGAGGGTTGGCACACCTGGTTGAACCTTCCACCCACGTTAGCTGTGGCTTGGGTTCAATTCTCAGGTTTTCCTCTTTGGTAAGCAATATGTAATCCCACCGTAAGCCCTCATTAAGGTTGGTGATCTTCCTTGATCATGCAATGGGTCATATCTTCCTCTAATCTAAACTTTTATGTGTTAAAAATATATATTTGTTAGAATGAAGTGAGAGATTTGTTTTCATATGCAGCAGAACTTGTCTGGATAGCCTCAATCTTCAACAACCTGCCAATTAAGTGTAAGTCTTTTCCTACCCTTCTACTTTGTTCTGTTCAAGTTTCTGGTTCAGTTCTTTCGCAGCACCCGTCAGATCTAAATCTAAAATAGCACTTTTTTGTTTGGGTTGAGGGTCTCAGTTTTGGGTTAAAGAAAGAACTCGGGAAATTTGATATGGCAACTAAACGCGTTCGCTACACCCCTCTTGCCACGGATGAGGATGACTATGTTGGTGATAGGAATAGACCATTTGATGCTCGATTTGATTATATGCCGAAATCTTTGGATAAAGTTCCCTGGAAATCCATTGTTCTTGCACTTTTCCTGTTATTCCTTGGTACAGGACTTCTGTTTCTTTCATACTTTATCTTCACTGGTCATATGGGTGGAGAACGGTCTCAAGCTTATGGCCTTTTAGCCCTTGGGTTTCTTAGCTTTCTCCCAGGTATGTTTGATTCCCAGAATGTCATATGCATTGTTTATTTACGCTAAGAATTCTAGTTTAATTAATATAAAGAACAAGGAAATTGATTATTTTTTCAGCTCCTGTGAGACGTAAATATGCCTTTGGACGAATTTGTTGATACATATGCTTTAAGAGCCACAAAGATATTTTTGCTGCAAATGCTTTTAGCTTTACAATCAGAAGCACAAACAAGCATACATCTCTAAATTTTGTCAGTATTCAAATGAATTTGGTCAAATTGGGGATAGTGGATACACTTCATGATTAGCAGAGAATTCATAAATCATAAACTACGCAACCATCTTGTATTTAGCAACACCTTTACAATGAATCATAAAAAAATGTTCCAAAGAAATGGGACATACCAACACTCATTGAGAACTGTAAATTGATTGTCCCATAGAAAAGCTGCTGCTTTACAATGAAAAGGTAACATACTGTTTCTGAACTAGAATTGCACATAATGAGAGGCTTACAATTATGTATCCAGATCGCCTGTTCTCACCACTTAAAATATGCCACCTAGACATAAAGTGTCATTAATAGTAACACAATTTAGTTAACTAACTCTAATGTTTAGGTATCATAGTTTCTAATTGGAGGGAGTTGGAGAGGAAATGGGCATGGAATGGGGACAGGCGATCTCCTTCTCTATGATTATGGCTACTGTTGCTACTCACGGCAAGTGCACCGATCGTACAAGTAATATACTGATTAAGTAAGAGATCGTTCCCACGAGGATTACGGTTCAAACACTAATTCACTATCGCAAACTTAGTTGGACAATCGAAGTTGTATTCGGAAACAGGATTTGAATTGCAAAATTAAAATATTAAATATTAAAGCTAATTACTCGCAGAATTAAAGACGTGAAATTAAAGATGTGATTTAAGAATGTAAAAGAACGTAGCTAGGGGTTCGATTTCCTTTAATCTCCTTATTATGATTCGAAGTCCTTCTTTACGTTAACCGTCCTTAATATCAATCTAACCAATTCTTTCGCGTGTTATTAGAGCTCAATCCCTTGTTACCCTAAAACCTTTACAAACTTGAAAGAACCCTAGTTCCCCGGTTATTCCCCAAGAATGCAAGCATTAAGTTCAAGAATCTTAAGGTTACGCAAATTCTATGTCTATCCCTAGAATCATAGCGTTTACGATGAAGTTATCAGATATGGATCACACACCAACATTCCTATTGTCATGCATTTACCGATGATCATTATATAAGATTCAAGCCTATATAAAGCATTAAAAACAGATAACTTCATTCATAATAAAAAGGAAAATTAACGTACGAATTGTTCAAAGCATAATAAATCGACTAAAATCCATCTAACCCTAACTACTTAAAGAACTAGCCGGACATGGCAAAATCAAGAACAAAAGAAAATAGAAAAGCTCCCCCAAACTCCATAAGTGATTGGTGGATCTTCAATATCTCCAGTGAACATTTGACGTTGATCCGTCTCCGCCGCTCACGAACATGAATCTGATGTTTCTTTGCGTTCCTTCAGCCTCCGAGCACCCAAGAGTTGTTTAGCAATGTAAAAGTTATGTATTCCTGGTCCCCAATGGCCCTTTTATTGGCCAAGAGTTCGTATCCTAGTAGAAAACTCGAATGGGCCTAAGTTGGGTCTGTCTGGGCGCTTAAGCCTGTTGTAGCGCGCTTAAGCGCCCTAGGACAGTGAATTCTGACTCGCGTTGCGTGCTGAAGCGCTCTGGAGGGAGCTTAAGCGCTCCCCTCGCGACAACATTTTCTTCTTGTGGCGCGCTTAAGCCCTGAGTTGGGGGCTTAAGCGCCCAGAGGCAGTAGCTATTTGCGTTTTTAGGGAGCTTAAGCTTCAGAATGGGGGCTTAAGCTCCCTCTTCTAACAACTTGGGAATCTTGATAAGATCTTCAGATATTTTTGTTTTGCTTTCCATCTATCCATATCTTATCTGATTTGATCTCCCTTTATCCAAATCTTCATATTTGAATCATTTGTTATCAATCCCTTTAAAAATAACAAATATATTAATTAGTTCCAACAAACAGATAATGTTCATGATTATTAAATTAAACCCTAGTTTTTGACTTATTTAACTTGATATTTTATATTAATTTAGTCTATAAAATAAGATAAACTAAAGGTTTATCAGCTATCATTACGAATTAATGATTTCCTTAAATCATATTAATATGTGGAATGATGTTGCTTGACATGATTTTTTACCTATTTGGTTTGTTCTAGGGCTTTGAATGTCTAACTACTTTTTGTTTATAGATGCACCTGGAATCCGAGAGAAAATTTTAGTTTGTATTTACCATGCCGCCTTTTTTTGTTTAACACCATTTAACTCCGTAGAGATTAACTTTTCTGTCATGATGATCTTTTGTTTGCTAAACCTGCACCAAACTTTTATTGATTTCTGGATACAGGCTTTTATGAGACTCGACTTGCGTATTATGCATGGCGGGGTGCCAAAGGATACCGCTTTTCTGCCATTCCTGATTATTAGAGCATTAGAGCTGTTCCTTGAAAACTCGATCAAATTTGGTTGGTACTTATATGCTTCAATGGCATAGATTGAATAAATTATAGAAAAGTGTAATCATATTTGTTATATATGTAGTTAATGCAGTGACAAAATTTGGAAAATTTATGCTTTAAAGTTTTGTGAGATTAGAAAATTACCTTAAAAGTATAGCATGAAATTCTTCCATTAGGCAATATTGCCTTTGTGCCTCTCTTGTCCCCTTAAACTGACCCATATTAATGAGGTGAGATCAACTCTTGACAAATGTTTGCCTCTGACTAGGTTTACGATAGGGTAAATTTGGGGCTGACTCCCTTGTTACAGTTTCCGTGCTGTTAAGTGAGAGATGTTCTCAGATTCGATCATTTCTTTTCTTCTGTTATAGTTGAATTCTTTTGCTAGTAAATGTGAAGGTAGCCTTGCGGAATAAGTTGCGAATTCTGCACCCGGCTTTTGCTTTAAAATAAAAGGGTCATATTTGTTTTGGCAGAAAAAATAATCTGAAATAGTTTCAAAAATGTAATTTGTTTTAGGGGAAAATGTTTCTTCTTTTAAAGGATGGGTATTTTAATTAAAATTAGTGTTTTTTTATTTAAAATGTAAATTAAAAGAATTATTTACTTTCTCCTATCATGATTTTTATTGTGTATGTTTCTCTCACTTAAAATGACATAATTTATGTTCTTTAAAAAGATAAATACTAAACCCTTTGTTTTAATACATGAAGAGATTACAGAACTACAAATGTTGCACTTCGGGTCATTTCGAGGCAAGTAGAATATTTATGATGATGAGGATGAGTTTTCATTTGGTAACTTGCGGATTCATTCTTTTTCCTATTCAAATATCAACATTTTGTCAGTGTTTTCACATCGAAAATCCTTTACATATGAAGAGATACCAAGGAATTTCTGATTTGCCAAACAGAGCATTTTACATTTATATATAAATGCCGGCTTGAAAAAAAAAAAACAATTTAAATTGTTGATTCATGCCGAAGATGATTTAGAACCAATATTCCATTATTGGATTTTTTTTTTTTTTTTTGTTCTAATACTCACGGTAATCCGTCTCCTCGTGCGCAACTGAATTATAATTAGAGTAAACACCATTTTTGGTCCTTGACAATATCTATGAAATCTTTTTTAGTCCCTGGCAATAAAAAAGGATCAAATTGGTCCTTAACAGTATGAAAAAAGGGTCACGTTAGTGACGGAGGAGTTGACATAAGGACTAATGTGGCCCTTTTTTCATAATTTTAGGGACCAATTTGGTCCTTTTTTATTGCTAGGGATTAAAAAAAATTTCGTAGATATTGCCAGGGACCAAAAAAGGTATTTACTCTTGTAATTACTTGGAATAAAATTTAAGGGTACACAGAACTGTTCAAGAAATAACTAATTTTCATTATTGAGGCTGAAGTTTTTAAACCTAAGCTTCCAATAACCTATTACAACAATTACTTTCAATCGTGCATTTTTTATTTCAAAATTATCGAGGGCTTAAGATAATAGTTTTTTGCGATCATTTAAATTTATGGTGGCCCTACACAGTACACAGTGATGTTTTTATTTAATAGGTTTATGTGAGATCAAGAGAGAGAAATCGAAGCAATAGTAGAGGAAGAAATAAAAAAGATAAGGCCTGCATTTTGGAAGAGCAGTAGGATTAACACACGAAAAAGTCAAACGGTTGCCTTTTAACTTTTAAGACTGTACAATATTATTGTTAAACACATAAAATATTCAAAATGACTCTAAACTTGTCTTAAAATATAATGATAACGTTTATTTTACATGTTTGTCCTTAGCTAAGTCATGATAACATGACCTTGTTATATAATTGGCAAGATTAGGAGCTTATTGGCCTAATAGGAAATAATTTGGATTTATCCTCTGCGGGTGGACGTAGATATATGAGTTTAAGAGGTGAGTCTCATGATTTTCGAATTTATAGTTGAGTCTACTTCTCTCTAACTACAGGATTCAGATATGAACAATTTGCAATCATCAACTACGAATGAGAATTTCAACAATCTTTTTTTTTTTTTTTTTTTTTTTTATCAAAACCGGTTCAGTAATATGAGACGATATTTAAATAATAAAACATTCATCCTTTGACTTCCTAAGTTTTTTTAATAAATCAGAGTAAAAACAGAAGAAAAAAAAATAGAAAGAGATGTAAAACCCATTGTCCTTGAAATTTTATTTTTTTTGATAAATAATTTTATTTTTTTTGTACATTAATAGAACTTTAGGAACTCTTGCGAAGATTTTTTTTTTAATTAAAGGTGTTCTAATTAAAGTTAAATAATGGGAAAATATATATACAAACATACTTCGACAATTTTTACTCATTATTCTACCATTTTATTTTACAATTATATTAAGCATATGACTTGAGTTATAAAAATGAGTAATATTAATTTTCAAGATTTTAAACATGAAAAAATTGCCGTCTATTGTTCCACTAATATGGAGATAACTTGCAAAAAAAGTTGTGTTTCTTTCATCATCGCAGATATGACATCGACTTTTTTTTCATTAGTAAAGAAAATCAATGACGCATACCAAAAAAAAAAAAAAAAAATCAATGACATTCAAAAAGCATCAGAAAGGAATGCATGATAACTATTTTAAAATGAAAGTGAAATTGGGATTTATTCTTGCAAAATTTTGTAGATTAAATTATATACACATAATTTGATTTAGAGTCTGCTTTGGCACCCTTTTATTTTTAGCAAAAAATTACTTTTAAGCTAAAATTAGAAAAAATAAAGTTAAAAATTATTCGATGATTATATAAAATTTTTAGCTTAAAAGTTACTTAAAAACTATTCATTTAAGAAAAAAACTAATACAACTTAACAAAATATTCTCCTATAAATTTTTGTTTTTTGATTTTTTTTTCTTCATTATAAAAAAGCTCTTTTTATTATAAGATCTTTTGTAAAATTGTGTTTGACCTAACTTCTGTTTATAAGAAAAAAAGAAACTAAAAGAAAACTCTCAAACACACTTAATTAAAAATTGGCATTTACGACCAATAAAACAATGAGAATGATCCGTTTACAAAATTTTTTTACAAATTTTGACAAATTATATTATGTAATCCCGAAAGTACATAGTGTAACCTAGTGTACTTACGGGAATACATAGTGTAAGAACCCGCACCGTTAATTAAGGAATTTAATTAATAAATTATGAGAAAATAGGAAATGATTCCATAATTGACCCTAATAATTATTATGAGGCTTTAATAATTATAGTAAGTGATTAAGAACACTGAAAGTCGCTTTTCGGAAGAAAAGTGCAAATGTCGGTTCTGCTAGTCAGTATAAATGTGTATCGAAAAGTACTCCGGAAAATTATAATAAGTGCATGATAATTACTTGATTAATATATAGGAATGGTAAAACGAGTTTCAAGTCCAAATAATGAGAACTGGTGCTAGAAATCGGTACTGGCTTTGAAAAGCGCGTACCGGAAAGGTGCTCCGAAAATTATAAGAAAAATACGATAATTCTTGTAAAATTGAGTAGGTTAAGAATCCAGAGTTTGAGATTAAAATGATAAGCATAGCAATTAAAGTTAATACTGTGTGTTTAAATGTTAAATCACTATAAATAGGCACACTTGGGCACAAAACCCTAAATAACTTATGCATGTACAAGGCTTGGGAGAGGGTGACTGACCAGAATAGTGTCCAAAGGCCTTCTTCTCCATTTCTTGGCCAAGTAATCACCTTTTGCTTGGTTTCTTCACCTCCAAACACTTGAGCCTTGTGTGAGTGGCCTTGTGAGTGTGTAGAGAGCTCTTGTTCTGAGTTGAGAGGCTGTTGGAAGTCAGCTTTGAGGGCTGAGTTGGAGAGTTGAGTTGTGGGAACCTTGGAGTTGGCTTGTTAAGCTTCAAGGTGTGTTCTTTGTGGAGAAAGGACCAACCTTCAACTTACATTTTCGTTCTTGAAGGAGTCAGAACCTTTGGTGTTGGTAGTGAGCTCCAAGAGCATCCCTATTTTCTGTTTGAAGCTTGGGTGAGTGGTTGAACCCTTGAACTTGTGTTTTGATGCTTAAAAATGAAACCTTGATGCATGTATAGGTTAAAAGATGATAACTTAACGTTGGGTAATGTCAAACACACCTAGAAATGCATGTTTAGGTGTTGAAAATCGGTAAAAACCCAACATTGGAAGGATATCTTCACGAAATGCAGTTTTTGCATTCTGTCGTGAAATATCCGGATATCTGTGCGAGAAATATCCGGATATTGGATTTGGATATCCGGATATGGGAATCTGGATATCCGGATATTGTATATCTGGATATGTGCAGTGAAATATCCGGATATTGAATATCCGGATATGGTCCCGAGGAATATCCGGATATTCTGGGATTTCGTAGAACAGTAGTTGTGCTGTGTGTACAGTAGGCTATTGGGGGTTTGTGGACCCTAGATTGATGAAGTTGAACTTCTGTAATTAATGAACTAAGTCAGAACCAAGTGATTAAGGGCTTATGGCTTGGTATGGAGCCTTAAGACGTAAAACGTAAAGGAAAGGCGTTGTCTTTAAGTTATATGCTTGTGGTGCATTATTTTTGATATAGTATTGGTCCATAACAGATTGTGAATCTGCTGTGTTTGGACTTTGAGCTGTGGACTCTTGGCTTTGGGTGTTAGCTTGCAAAGTAAGCTTTCGTGTCCTCGGTTTAGCCATGTTGTGGTTCCACCATGTCCCATGGGGGTGTAGTTATAAGCATGCTGTGTTACATGCTTTGAATATTTGAACTGCTGTTGAGCTTTATGTGTGATGACTTTTAATATGCATGTGTTGTTTCATCTAGACGGTAAGCCTGAGTATGTGACATCATACGATATGGTGATCCGGGGTGAATGCAAGTGGCGTCTTGCACTATGTGTGGGTATTTGGCGTATATAAATCCTGCATTTCTCTGGCCAGTAGAATAGAATTGACACACATGACATGATTACCTGCTGCATTGCACTGTTTTAGAAATGACATTGATGAACTGCTTTTAAACTTATATTGCACATGTAAGTGAGCTTGGGGTGGAAGATCCTTGAGGAGCCCTTGACTTACTGAGATGTCTTGTTTAGAGATCTCACCCCACGTTTGGGGAATGCTTATTTCAGGTTCAGGTAGTATGGTGACTGATGCCTCTGGCGGCAGGAGGCCAGAGCTTAGCTGATTATAATATTACTGCTTATTTGCTAGCATGACTGGATTGGAAGCTGTTTATGTTTTCCGCACTGTTATATGTTGTTCATGTTGAGACTTATGTTGGGCTTTGTTGCCCTATTTGGGTGAGCATGAGAGTTGTCCATGCCACTATGTCGTTAGTACTTTTGAGTTTGGTTGTATAAACTGATAGTTGGTCCGGTCTACGTGTTGTAGATCCGTGACTAGAGTTATACATTATGTTATTTTATTTAACGAGGTATTTTAGTTAGCTGTTTTATTACAATTGCATACATGCGATGTTTTATTAATTGATTAATAAGCAAGTTAGTAATGATAATGACATCATAATTAAAAAGAAGAAGATATTCCGTCTATTGTTTCTTTCATCACCGCAGATATGACATCGACTTTTTTTTCATTAATAAAGAAAATCAATGACTTTCAAAAAGCATCAGAAAGGAATGCATGATAACTATTTTAAAATGAAAGTGAAATTGGGATTTATTCTTGCAAAATTTTGTAGTTTAAATTATATACACATAATTTGTTTAGAGTCTGCTTTGGCACCCTTTTTAATTTTAGCTTAAAAATTACTTTTAAGCTAAAATTAGAAAAAATAAAGTTAAAAATTATTCGATGATTATATAAAAATTTTAGCTTAAAAGTTACTTAAAAACTATTCATTTTAAAAAAAAAACTAATACAACTTAACACAAAATTCTCCTATAAATTTTTGTTTTTTGATTTTTTTTCTTCATTATAAAAAAGCTCTTTTTATTATAAGATCTTTTGTAAAATCGTGTTTGATCTAACTTCTGTTTATAAAGAAAAAAGAAACTAAAAAAAAAAACTCTCAAACACACACTTAATTAAAAATTGGCATTTACGACCAATTAAACAATGAGAATGATCCATTTATAAAAATTTTTTACAAATTTTGGCAAATTATATTATGTACTCCCGAAAGTACATAGTGTAACCTAGTGTACTTACGAAAATACATAGTGTAGTTTGTAAAAATTTATAAATATAACCCTCCCTATAAAACAAATGTAAACATCCATTTGAATTCTTGAAAGATTGAATTCAAGATTGTCGAATCACAATACGTACTATGTACTGTTTGGCTGGATTTTTGTATTGTGGATCCTGAAACGTATTGAATTATAAGATACATATATATAATAAAAAGTAATTTAAAAATATATATTAAAATATTTATTTAATTATTTTCTATATTAATAAAAAAAATTTAGATTGATTTTTGAGTTTAAATCACAAATCAAATCTTTATTTTCTTTTCCTTATTAATAATAATTTTTAAAAAATTTTTAAATTAGATTATAAATCAAACTTTTATTTCTTTTTTTTAATATTAAAAATTAAAAAATTTGATTTAATTTTCGTATCGTATGATATACGATACATTTTGTACTGTATGATATAAACTCCTTTAGGATACACTTCACAACATGCATCACTATTTGTGTATCGTTATTTTGTATGTGTATTGTAAAATACTGATAACTATAATTGAATTAATATCACTTTGAACTCTCATCCTTGTGAATTTATTTCCTCAATTATGAAAAGTAACATCATCCTTGTGAATACAAACTACAAGATTGAAGGACTAATTAATATCAAACTTTTCAAGACTAATAAATTAAAGAACTAAATTGGTGTTAACCTTCGTTTTTAAGGAACTAAATTAATAATACATATTTTTTTTTTGGAGTTAACTCAATCTTAATTACCTCTTTTAGGCGAGTTGACTTCTCCCGATATCCGCACAATCCTACTTCATATTTTTTAAGAACCAATTCGATGTCAACCTAATCTTTAGAGGCCAAAACAATAATTTACTGTAAAAAAATTTGTGTGTAAAAATATAAACAACATCAACTAAATAAATTAATAAAAGTCAAAGAATACCACACAAAGTTTTCACCTAAGGACTATGATGGGAGTGTTGGAAATTTGGAACAAAACATATTACAAAGTCGTAGAGTACCCACACACAATGATATACCCCTCTCTTTTTTGTTGTTGTTGCCAAAAGGCTATTTACAAGAAAGATGCAAGATATTGAAATTAATTTTGGAACTAAGTAATCCCTAATAAAGCAGTCTTAAACTAGTGCTGATTCTTCGAATTACTTGAATTCTTAGTACAGATATAAAGATCACAAAAATGCCACCAACAACCATGTATATTTGTATAAGACTTGTCAGTATATCTTTCATAATAAAAAGCACTACTATGAATGAAACTTCAAAAAAATAGCACTGCTATATAAAGAGAAACAAAAAGACATGGAATAATTTATACATATTCTGACACCTTTTTTCTTATAGATATATATCTGCACTATGCATTTGCTTCTAGTTTAATCCTATACTTTATAAATTTAACCCCAACGAATTATAGAGAAACCTGAAAGTGATGGGCTGATAGCATTTCCTCTTAGTATTCTTCAAATCACAAACTTTGTCTCTCTTCTATCAAATAATCATAACAAAATTCAAATCATAGGCCAGCATAATACTTATCTCAATCATTCATTTTACTAAACCAAATAGATGCAAGCCAGGCGTTCACTTATGACCAAAGGAGCTTTTTCCTTTTCTCTATGTATTACGTGGGAAAACTCTTTCCCGTATATATGTATGTGTTATAATATTCTTATATTTTATGATCATCCAAAAATTTATGGGACAGATCCCTTAAATTCAACTGCAGCCACCACATACCAATATGTCACCCTCGTGCAAATTAAAGATAAATCCCGTAGCTTCAACCAAAATATAATAATAAATAATGATATGCAATAAAATAATAGCAATTAATTTCGAGATAGAGACAGGAACGAGGCAGAGAGATTGTATTTATGTATATTATTCAGCCCTCATTCCGTCCACACAATTAGGGTTTAGGGTCAGTGTTATTGAGTAAAGTATATCTTATTTTATAAGCATTCTCACTTTTTATTTTCTTTCATTTGTCTCACAAAAAATATGATTTTTTTATCAACTTTTTTAATTAATTTCCGACTCAAAGAAAGGGAGGGGGGAAATGAAAAGAAAATTTGGATTTTTCTTACCAAAAACTTGCAAGTAAATACCTTATTTCATCAAGGAAAACTTGCAAAAATAAAATAAAATAATAATACTTTTTTTTTATTATTTAATATTAACTTTTTAGTATCTTATAAAATTATATTAAATATTCACAGAAAAAAAAATGCAAGATTGAGACAAATTTGAAGAAGCTATTGAAATTTTAATCCATGCACGAGAGGACAAAGTAACAAAATTTCTATTCTCCAAAGAATCCATGGCTCTTGAATTTTCCCTTTTTATTATTTTTATGTACTTTTTTTGTTGAATAAATAAGCCCACAAAATAAGAAAATAGCTTAAGATGAAAATTCAAAGTTGTATACCCCGTGACCTGGAAGGATCCAAAAGATTGGAAGCACATAGAGACCAAAAGAACCCCTTTTTTTTCTTCAACTTCTCACACGCTCACCTCATCAAAATGATGGTTTAACAGTTATACAATTATTATCATTGATTTATGAATAAATTGTATATATTTTAAAGAATATAAAGTTGTGTTATTTTAAGTGAAAGAAAGTGATAGATAAAAAAGAAAAGAGAATGGACAAAAAATTATAAAGGTGTAGATCTCATCTCTTTGTAAGAATGAAATGATACAGATTATATAATTTAAAAGAGACAAATACTTTTCCCTTAATTTATTGATAGATGATTAAAATTCTTGCATTCATATTAAATAAAATATAAAAAAATCTATTTTTATTTATTTCGGTTCCTCATATGAATGAATGGTCTGGGATATTTTTTATTCTTACATCATTATAAGAATAACTTATTTCCATAAAATAGTACTTGATAAAAGATTATAAAATATAAAATATTTCATTAAAAATGTAATATTTAATTTACAAAAAACATAAGATTTTATTTTTTATTTAAATTTTTTAAATTTTAATTGATTAACAGTTGCCCCAAAAACATTTGTTACCATTTGCTATTTATCTTAATGTCTTTCAATTTTTTCAAATTGAAATTAAATTTCCGATTATTGTTAGTTTGTTACTTGACGAACAAGTTTTTTTTTTCTTTTAAAAAATAAATAAATTAAATAATATTCCATTTTCTTTGGAAAAACCAATCCAATTGATGCAGTTGAAAAAGCCGGTCAGAATCATTTGAGCTTTTTGGCAAATATGGACAGAAACATGAACTTTGCATATTTATTATTTAGAGGAGAAGCTTACAATCTTTTTCTGTGATTGTATTATGCTGCTTCCACTTTCAGCTTTGAGCATTTGAATTTGCAAAAGCGTGTGAGCTTTGGGGGGGTGGGTTGTGATTCATCATTAGCTGGTAGTGTGGAGGTAAGCGTGTGAGCTTTGATTTGGTTGCTGGAGGGTTTGTGAATTGAATTGGAGAAAAGGGGTCTCCTTCGTTTTTGGGAATTATTGATTGACATAAACTGGGATTGATAAAACCTAGCAAGAAAGGAAAAGGAAGGTTTTTTATTGTTTTGTTTAGGTTAGATTGGAGAAAAAGCAAAAGGGTTTTTCTGTGACGGCTCAGTAAGTATATATAAGGGGTGTTTGAGGATTCACTTTGCTGTGAGATTTTTGTATTGGATTAAAGCTTGCGTGATGGATGAAGCTCAGGGCAGTTCCAGTTCCCTGCCACCTTTCCTCGCCAAGACTTATGAGATGGTGGATGATCCTTCAACTGATTCCATTGTTTCATGGAGTGCCACCAATAAAAGTTTCATTGTCTTGAACCCACCAGAATTTGCAAGGGATTTGTTGCCCAAATTCTTTAAGCACAATAACTTCTCTAGTTTCATCAGACAGCTGAACACTTATGTAAGCAAAGTCAATCTCTTTCATACTCTTGGATTTGATAACTTGTTTTGTCTTTGATTGGTTGAATTGTGTCATGGTTTTCTGTGTTTATCAGGGCTTTAGAAAGATTGACCCAGAACAATGGGAATTTGCAAATGATGATTTTGTAAGAGGTCAACCACATCTTTTGAAGAATATCCATAGGCGCAAACCAGTTCATAGCCATTCTTTGCAGAATCTCCAAGGTCAAGGGGCTTCTCCACTCACTGAATCGGAACGGCAGAGTTTGAAAGATGAGATGGAGAAGCTTAAACATGATAAAGAACAACTTCTTCTGGAGTTGCAGAGACATGAAGAGGAGTGGAAAATGTATGAGGTACAAATGCAGTGCTCAAAGGATCGTTTGGAAAAGTTGGAAAAGAAGCAACAAGATATGCTCTCTTCTGTTTCTCAAGTGTTGCACAAACCTGGAATTGCCTTAAATCTCTTGCCGCTGATAGAAAACATGGATAGAAAACGAAGGTTGCGGAGAAGTGGTCACTTTAGTGATGAAGCTAGCATTGAAGATCCCATGGAAAGTTCGCAAGTGTTACCTAGAGATCATGCAGAGAGTTGCTCTGATTTCACAGTAAACATGGAGCGATTGGATCTGCTTGAATCATCCGTGGTGTTCTGGGAGAATATTGCACATGATGTTGTTGACTCCTTTGTTCCAAGTCATTCAAACATGGACTTTGATGAATCTACAAGTTGTGCAGATAGTCCAGCTTTATCTTGTGTGCAACTAGATGTTGAAGTTCTGCCTAAGTCATCTGGAATCGACATGAACTCTGAGCCAGCCGTGGCTGCTGTTCCTGATCTTGCTACATCAAAAGAACAACCTGTGGGAACAACCCCTGTGGCTACTACTGGTGTTAATGACGTATTCTGGGAACAATTTTTGACAGAGAATCCCGGTACATCCGAAATGCAGGAAGCACAGTCAGGAAGAAAGGATTCTGATGGCAGAAATAATGATGGAAAAACTGGTGACCATGGAAGATTTTGGTGGAACATTAGGAATGTAAATAACCTTCCAGAACAGATGGGGCATTCTTAGTCAAGCAAAGAAAATTTAGTGGCAATTGGATGCCTCACCTCGCAATTACATGTAATAAATGTAGGTATGTGTGGTTGGCTCTGCTATAAATACATATTCCATATTTTTGCTTGAATGTTTGCATCCTGTATATAATTTAGTCAATTATTATACAGCTCACTAGTCTCATATAGTTCTACTATGCCAAAACCTGAACAGAAATGTGGTTTGCTTTTCTGCACTTTTCCCTCCCTTTGATCCATTCTTTATCTTACTTTACCATATAATAGAAGCCAACTGCATATATCCTCGGTTGCCATCTCCTGCAGGGAGATACCCAATATCAAAAGTGGAAATTGTTTTTTTAGCGCTCTAGAATTACTGATGCCCCATAGAGTAAAAGGGCCTGATATTAGGCGTAAAGAAGTAAAGTAAGAAAAGAATATGCACTCTATTGTCTATATCCTACTGCTTGTGAAGAAGGAAATGTTGTAAATTCCAGTTGTTTGGGACTGAGGTTGAGGAGTGGTAGTTTTTGTTCCCTTGTATTCACTCTGAACGCCAATATTTTTTTGAGATTATGAATGGTTGTGTTGATTCGTTAATGAGAATAGAAAGAACTGTTGAATAATGAGTTTGTGAGACTTGAGTCTATTACATTTACATGAAAACTAGTCTTGAGCGTGTCACATTTAAAAAGAGATTACTGGAAATTAATGTTTTTCATATTGGTAAATCTAAGATATTGTGAGTGTAAACTTCTAGGTCTATTTTCTTCATTCAATAATTTTCACAGGATGTATTGAGACTTGAGAGTATTGCATTTAAACAAGAGATTAGTGGGAATGCAAGATATTGTTATTTGTGAGTGTATAATTCTAGTTCTACTTTCTTCATTCAATAAGTTTCAAATGTTTCCATCTTTTCGTCAATCTTACTATATTTTTATAGCACACAAAAACTACATATAGTATGAGGCTGACCACAGACGAGTACAAGGTGCGAGGAAAGAGATTCAAGATAGAGTGGTAAGACCTACTATGATGTGAAATTAACCTCTAGTAAATATCATATTTCTTGTACATGGGTTTTTAACTTGTGTTGGAAGTTTAAAAAAATTCTGATTGCTGAATTGTAGCTTTTCAGGGCTCTAGTTATCCATTTTTACTAATTGCCCTCTGCTTTTCCATTGATTATTGCTATTGCTGATGACCATGGATCTCTGGTTAATCAATTTATGTTTCTGGCCTTCGTTTCAATTTTACTGTTTAGTCTGTTTTGGGCATGAAACTTTCTGCTATACTATGTGATGACATGATGTGCACTTAAGTTCTTAGTGGACTCCTAACTTTACTGCTGCCTGCTGCATTTAGCAGTTTGTCTTTATTCTAAGTTAAGTTCGTAGAAAGGAGAAGAATAGAAGAAGAGTATCGTAGAAATATTAAAAGAAATTCGGAATAAATCGTTGTTATCATCTTTTTCACTTTGTTTATACAAGGTCTTATATTAAAGTAAAATATATATATATATAGATAAAATCATTTCTGTAGCCGCTTTACGTACAGAAACGACATGTGTATGGTTATGATTCTCCACATTTAATGCTTTCATCATTTGTATGGTTATGATTCTCCGCATTTAATGCTTTCAAATATATATATATGGCAAGTATTTGATTGCTACACATATAACAGCGGCAGAAATGTAAACCCCATATATATATATATATATATATATATATATATATATGGGAAAAATTATTCTTATTCTACATGTGATAAATTTATCTCTTACACACTCTTAGATAACTGTGCCAATTTTTTCTTTTCTTTTTTCAGGTCGTGGAGTTCACAAATTTATCTCTATAACATGAGATAACTTATATCCTTTAACATGAGATTAATAAAACTATATATATATATATATATATATATATATATATATATAGATATATGAAGTCAGCTTACTAATCAATAAAATGCTTTTGCTTGCAACTTGTAAAAGAGAAAAAGGAAGTTGCTCACAGGTTGTAATCCATTCACTTTCACAACGCACGGAATGGATTAAGCTCTTTTGTTCCTCATTCAAAGTAATCTATGTGACTCATTTCCAAAATAAAAATAAAAATAATATCTATGTGACCCTGTCAAAGGCAATACTAACCTTAGACTTTGACGAAAGTGGCATGGAAGATGGCATGGCGAATCGTAGTGGTGTCTGATGAATCTCGTGACTATGATTCATTGGTTTACACACGCATTCTACAATTATAATAATTTTAAATCTAGGATATAGATAAGATTAAGAACATTATTATGTTATTTTATTTAATTCTAGGTCGTCATTGGTGTACTGATATTATTTTCCAGCATTCTTCGCGTTGTGTCACAATTTGGTTGTTTCAATTACTAAGAGATTTGATACGTTTTTGAATGCACTCATTTATTCATGATTGATTTGAATTTGAAGCCTTCTAATTGAAAAAGAAGTGAAAGGTAACAATTCCTTCTTTTTAAATTAAATTAAATTAGATTAATATATCTGAGAGGCATAGAATAATATAAAATATGATTAATCTATTATAAGTAATAAATAATTTATTATTTTATTTTTAAAGAATTAATATAATTATATACTTAATTTGTTCATTATTAACATATTAAAAAAAACCTTTCTCATTAATTTCTGTTTTTTTTTTGGACAAGTGGATGCTACCTTATTTAAATACAATATTAGAACAAAATTGAAATTACATCATAGTAAGAATGTCAAAATAATAAAGTAAAAATATAGAAAGAAATGCAAATGATAATAAAAGATAGATAGAGTAAATAAAATTTCAAACACGAACAACAAATATTTCAAAAAAAAAAAAAAACTGAAACAATATAGAATTTATTTAATTTTAACAATATTTGTTAGTTTGATATTGTTATACAAAAATGTTTCAGTAGACCTTATGTGTAACAATAACATTACTGGGTTCTTGACTAGAATATGACATTAAAATTAGATCAACACATTTCACCCTAAGACTAACCTTAATCTTATTCAAAGAATGCATAAATTCCAGTAATGTTAAATGCAAAAAGAACCATAATCCTTAGTTGATAATAAAGGTGACAAACCCGCTTACAATGGATGACAAAAAACCGAAACATCTCACAGAAAGCCTAAACGGCTTGTCTGATTGCTGTTTCTGAAACAGTTTTAAATTTTTAAAACAAATAAACAAAAAAAGTACTTATGATGATTTTGCTCCTCGTTCTGGTCCAAGATACGTTTGCGAGCCCATGGGTGATTTTTCTTCTGGGAGTGGACCCCCTATTATTTTAGGTTCTTGAAATTGATATACAAATAATCAATTGATTGCTTTATTTTTTTTTATACATGTTGATTGATTTATACTTATATTAATTGATTCATACTTGCATTGAGTGTAATGATAAAGACTATTATAAATAATAAATTCAAAAGAAAAGGCTTATAATATAAGTTATTTTTGGAGGACATAAATGAATATAATGGTGTCATGTGAAATGGATTGGCAAAAACCTTCATTTATATAATAATATTAGATGTATTTCAATTTCATGTTTATTAAATTTTTATTAGGAAAGTATTTTTTTATTACCAAATAACAATATTTTTGTACTCAAATAGTCATATTGAATAATAACTAGCTTGGAAAAATTAAAATAACGTGAGTGTCTAAAATTACAAAAGAAAGTAGAGATAATATATATGAGGCAGGATCCTTTGACACCGGTGTCAAAGGAAAAGTTTGACACCTCATCTGAGAGCCGTTAGATTAAAAAAAATCAATGGTGTCACATGCTTACAAATCAGAATCGTTGATTTTTTTTAATCTAACGGCTCTCAGATGAGGTGTCAAATTTTTTTTTTGACACCGGTGTCAAAGGATCCTGTCTCAATATATATATATATATATATATATATATATATATATATATATATATATATATATATATATATATATATATGAGGTAGGATCCTTTGACCCCGGTGTCAAATTTGAAATTTGACACCGGTGTCAAATTTGAAATTTGACACCTCATCTAAAAATCGTTAGATCAAAAAAGATTAACGACTCTGATTTGTAAGCATGTGACACCATTGATCTTTTTTGATTTAACGGCTTTTAGATGAGGTGTCAAATTTCAAATTTGACACTGGTGTCAAAAGATCTTACCTCTCTCTCTCTATATATATATATATATATATATATATATATATAAACACACACATACACATATATATAATCAACAGTGCTGTAAGCTAAGACATTTTATTTTTTTTAACGAATTCAGCCACCAATGACTTGGCTTGGCTTCCTGCTTTCATCAATGAAATACTTCCTTTTTATTTATCACATTTATATTCAATCACCATCCACAATTTTTACACATTTGTATTTGGATTCGTTAAAATGTTATCCAGTGATTTAGCATATTTTTTTATATTTAATTTTGTGGCTAAAGGGCCATCTAAAAGGAAAGCACATCCTGATCCTCTATGCAACTCAAGTTTATATACTGGTAGACTTGTAACATCAACTCACAGGGCATAGCCCTCCCTATTGTGAACGACATTAGCTCAATAAACGCATCATGTGACTCTGAAAGAGACTCTTATTTAGCGTGCTATTTCAGAAAGAATTTCAGTATCAAGGAGCTAGTTCTGTTTATGTTCAGAAAAAATTAATATGTATATGTCAAAGGTACGTAACTATAAATTTTAAGTTACTGAGCACAAAGCCTGTTGCAGCATGATTCAAGTAGATTGCACTATTTGAGTTCTTAGAGGCTAAAAAAACTTACATTGCTTCTAAGTTTTAACAGCTATCCCAAGTAACCATATTCTGGCACTGTAAATTGTGACTTAACTTTTTTGGGGTGAAGTGACTGTTATTTTCCAAACATCTACTAGATAAACACAATTTGATTGTCAACAACTAAGTGCATATGTCATGTACATATGCATGCATAAAGAACTCTTATGAGTAGTTATTTGGAAGCATAGAATTAGTGGAAATCTTGATGCAATTAATCTTGAAATTTATGCGACAGATGTGAAGAGAATAGAGCTTCAGTTAAAATTAAAGCAAAGAACAACAATTGTTTGTAGAACTATTTACATTTCAAGTCAAGCCTAGCAACTAGTGAGAGGTTGTTATTCATAGTAACAACATTGCATGTCTGATTTAATACCCAAACCATGTTGGCTCATGTCAAACCATACCTGCCGGAATACTTTGATGATGAGATCATGATATTCATCAGCATTCAATGTCAGATAACATGCTAATAGCTCTTCCATTTCTTCAGGCTGGCTAATCTGTTTTTCTATGATCATCTCAATCATTGAATCTCTGAAATCTTGCTTCGGATCTAATGAACATTTAATCACAGCAAAGCTATCTAATCCTGGTTTTTCTTCCAAAATTTCCAACCTTTCTTTCTTCATCTTTAGTTTTGCTTTCCTCATGTCTTCTAGAGCCTTTATTTTGCATATTTCAACTTTGGAAACCATCTTTGGAGAATGTATTCTGACCTTGGAGCTGTGCTTTGATTTCCTCCTCTGAAGTGGTTGCCTCTGTTTGTTAGTCTTTATCTTCAACTCCTCAGTTTGTATCAAATTTTGCCTATCAGAACTCAATTTCTTATGAGATGCCCTTTCAGTTTTCTCAAAGCTCTGTGTACTTAACACACCGTCTTCTATAATATTTCCAAGGCTAGAATTCTTTGAATCTGAAGAAGAGGCAAAAAAATGTGCTCTTGGTGTGCAAATTGTTCTAGGTAATTCAAATTGCAGCATATCTTTTTCCACTGTTTTACTTGATTCAAATTCAACTTCCTCTGCTTCTCTTTCTAATTTCAAGAGTTGCTCTTGCAAAACCTTTTGTGCTTTCCTCTCAAATCTCCTCCTTAAGTCTTCATATTCCTTTTCTCGATTGTACTCATCCATCTCCATTGAAACCTTCCTATCATTCAGCAATTTTCTTTCTTCTCCTAAACCAACATCCTTCTCCTTTAACTTGAGGGTGCCTTCTCTTCTTCCATGTTTCTTAGCATTCATTTTACCACCATGGAAACTTGAGGATGGAATGACATTCTCATCAATATCTTTACTTTTCTTATCTTCAAGACCCTCTTCATCAAACGATACTCTGCAGAAGGCACCATCATCCCCTCCATAGAATCTGTCTCTAGTCTCACAAGAATGCTGTGGTGAACCAACAGAAGCAGAATTCTGCTTTGCCTTCTGCTTAATATTTTCAGGATTTGGCTGTGAATTGATTCTCATATGCTTGAACTTGGACAACCAAGAAAAAAGAGATGCATGAGAGGTACAAGAAGAAGTCCCAGAAGAAGAAGAAGCTGAAGAAGTTTTTCTTCCTCCCCACTTCATCATTTGTTGTTGGCAAGGTGATGATTCTCTTCTTGTTGATTTGGTTAAAGTTTACAAACAAGAGATTTCTAGTGAGAGATATCAAGCAATTAGTGGGACGGTTAGGAAGTTAAATAGGAACGTGGGTTTCCTACGGTTTCTGCCATCGTTCAAAAGAGAAACCCGCCTCAAATCCTGTGACCTCTTACCCACTTTTCCTGCTTGTTAAAAAGTTTCTGTGCCAATGAGGGAGACCCCCTTTTTTAGGCCCACAGAGTAATAATATATTAGTGGTTACATTACATATTGGCAATTTTTAATATTAATTAACAAAAATTACTTTGTGTGAGAGAGAAAAGAACATCGTATGAAGGTAGTATGTTTGGTGAGCTTTATTAAAGGACATTTAAGACAGAAGAGGATGTCTCATTGTCTGTAAGTAGTGCAATAATCATAACTAGACCTGTAAGCAGGTCCTAGTCATTTTCATTAACAGCTACTTAGTATTGACCCTGAGCGTTGTTGTCAGTGGGGTTGGCCTGGAAGATTAGGGTGGCTAATATATTAGTAGTTCACTTAAATATTATGTTTTTGCAACAAACCATGTGAAGGGAAGGGTTTTGTAATAAAAAGAGAAAATAAAGAACTTGTTGGAGTTTCTTTTTGGATTTTATGGTGGACTGTGGGGTGAGTATTCCAATTTTGCAAGTACTCATCCCGGTCAGCTAACTCTTTTGCTTTTTCTCCCATTATATATATATATAAGGTTTATAATCTATCATTTAACATAACCACAAAATTTTTTTACACACACAACATTTTGTGGGGCCCACAGCAAAAAAAAAAAAAAAACTTCAGCACGCAAAACGAATCTCTATAACATAATACAATCATTTTTCCTACAACATAACTCTTATAAAACCCATATATATATATATATAGGTAAAATCACTACAGCCGCTTTATATATATATATATATATATATGAGGAATGATCCATTTACAAATTTTTTGTATAAATTTTTACAAATTATACTATCTTCTTTCGGGAGAAGATAGTGTAACTAGTGTTCTCCCGGAAAAAGATAGTGTAGTTTGTAAGAGTTTGTAAACAAAAAAGTTTGTAAATATAACATGTCCCTATATATATATATATATATATGAAAAATTATTCTCATGTTATATTAGAATAGTTTTTCCTATTATAAATTCTTCGATAAATTGTGCAATTTTTTTCTTTTTCTTTTTTTTATTTTTTCAGTTGAGGAGACCCCCATATTTATTTGTATGATATGAGATAATTTATCTCTTTAATATAAGATTAATAACACCCTATATATAGCGTAATATTTCATGAACATAATTGTAAACTTTCTTTATAAATATGTCATTCGTATAATAACTAATAAGACATACAAAATAACCTTAGCACATTAAATGAGTCTTGGCTCAATTGAATTAAGACTCGAGCGTTTAGACAAAGTTCTCCATTGACTATTAGAGTTGTAAACCACCATTCAACCAAAAGCTTAAATTAATAAGTGACAGAAATTTAATAATTTTATATTATACTTCTCTAATACATTTTCTCTCGTAAAAGCGCTCTTCCCTCGTACAAAAAGGTTATTTGGACTTAAAGTGTGAATATTGTATAAGTCTATTTTTTTTTCCCATATCTTGTATTGACTTAATTTCACTAGAAAGTGGAGCAGTGAGAATCGAACTCGTAATCTGTAGTCATCTATGCTCTAGTACAATGTTAAGTAACCATCTTACCTAACCTAACCTCTTAAGCTATTAAATAATGGGTCTTCAATATTTTTTATATTCTCTCTATAACACACCATTTTATGTAAGAACTTTTTGGACTGCAAGAGTGGACAATACATTAGGCTTTAGTAATTTATGTTAAGAAGCTATACAATATTTAATTACTTTTTTAGAATTGAGGCAGTGAGGATCGAACTCATAACTACTTGGCCTCATAAGCTTTGATACCATGTAAATAATCATTCAACCAAAAAACTTAAGTTAATAAGTGATGGGTTTTCAATGATTTTATATTATATCTTTCTAACAAGAGTGATTTATTTTACATAAAAATATTTCTGCAGTTAATACATATAAGTTATCTGCATTTACTTTCAAAATGACGTCGTTTTGGGATTGAAATATTAAAAAATTATAATTATAAAAACTATAATAACCCTGAAACAAATTAAAATTACAAAAACACCATAATTTTCGCCTCAAAATGACATCGCATTGCCCTTACTGCAGATAACTTATCTGTAGTAATTATAGAAAAAGCGAACCCTTTATTTTAACTTATTTTTCAAAAATAGTAATTATCTAAGTTTTTTTTAAAAAAAAAAAAAAAATTGTTAGCACCTCAGATTCTAATTGCTTCTTTCTTTTTTCTTTTTTTGCTTCTTAATACAAGGGCTCTAATTTTAAGATATTAGTTCTTAAAACTGATTAAGAATCCTTCAATTCTAAGTTTGGCAGAGATTCAGTTTTAGTCTTAAAATTTCGATGGGAATCGAATAGTTTTGTTGGGTTGGAACTTTTTCAACAAATGAGGTAATCCACTTGATTTTTTCAAGTTCTATTTTAAAAGTGGAACCTTACTATTATAGAAGCATCGAGCACTTTGAATCCATTATCTTTTGGGAAGCTATTTCCTTTTCACCCACACAAAGAAATTTTTTCTGGAATCACATTTTTCGTTTTTTATTTAATGAAGGCATTTTTTATTAGTATTAGTTTTAGATTTCTTCACTGATTCATCAATTAATCGATTAATTTGATCGATCCAAGCAAGTAGATGAGTTAAAATAGATTATAGTTTGTAGGCTAATCTGTAAAGCCCTATATTTGGCTATGACCCACTAAGCCCTCTTTGTGTAAAGGTTGCAATTTTCAACCAGACTCGTTGACACAACACAAGCACATAAAAAAATATCCATGTTTAGATGACCCGTTTTAAATTCATGTTGCGTTTGTGTTAGCATGTTAGCAAAAACTAACACGAAAAAATTTGTATCGTGTAGCGTGTCAATCTGCTAATCTAGATTCATACGCTTTAATCTTCGTACAGGTTATTTGTGTCTGTGTCGTGTTATAAACAAGTTAATCGCGTCTTATCATGTCATTTTAACTCGCATAATAAGCACACTTTATGATTGACAGGTTATTCATGTAATGGATTATCGTGTCAACCCACATAATAAGTGACACACTTTGAGATTGCGGCTTATTTGTGTCATGTCGTGTCAACTTGTGCAAGTCGTATTCGTGTCATAGATTTTAACCCAATTCAAATTAGTGTCGTGTTCGTGTTGAATATATTTATGTTCATGTCGTGTCAACATGAATCATCACCCTTATCTTTGTGCAACATCATTTTCTAACCCTAACTCCTAAAGCCCTATGATGAAAGTATTAAATATATTTATTTGTTAAAATAGTTTTAAATGAATTAATTCTAATATTTTTTTTAAAATTTTTATTTTATTATTCAAGTAAGGGACCCATTTGCATTTTCATCCCAATCATATCATTAATTAAATATATGGCAGGCAGGGGTCTCAATTCACTTCCGTCGAAGGTAGAGGTCTAAATTATGCTGCTCGGAAACAGCTGTATTTTCAGTTAACACCCTTCCTCATTAACTTAGTTTCACATTTAATGGTGTGAAATGGCTGAGTTGGAATTGTTACAATTCAATAAATGTTGGAAGTAGATGGATCATTGCTTACAGTAATTATGATGCCTTTGAAATTTCCTTCCCTTGATAATCAAACGATTTCTTAAAAAAAATTTTAGTAAAAGCAGAATTCGTTCTCTTAAAGAGAATATCCAAACTAGAGGCTCTTTAACAGAGCTGCTCAAAGGAACATTCCGTTTTTAGCTAAATACAAAAAAAATGTGATCAAAATGTTTCTTTATCCTAAAAGTGCTTTTAACACTTTATAACAATTGACCGAAGTGTCTGATGTGTATCCAAGAAGTAGGGGAAAGTGAAGAAGATAATTTAGGAAGAGGAAGCATAAGCCTTATTCTAAGTGATTATGTTTCTAATTGGAAATCTTTTATTTATTTATTTCCGTTTATCCATTTTATTGTTGAACTTTCACGAAGACCGGTGCCTCATAAACGCCAACTAAAATTTCATTTTGCTATATTAAGTATAGGAAAAATATACTCTTATGTTGTAGGAGAGTGTTTTTCTCTCCTAGACATACATTAATTTTCGTATTACTTTTTTATCTTTCTTTTTTTTTCTATAATGAGTGGGTCTCACACATGATTGTCTCATAGTATGAGAGAGTTCTCTCCTATTGCATGAAATTAACAAAGCCTTAAAGTATATGCTACGAAGATAGTCATCATTTTGTTTGTAATTTATTTCCAACTGCTTATCACAGCATTCACTTCGATCTTACAGGCAACTGATAATGCTACATTCATAGCTAGTAATTAGTCACTAGATAATTTTCTACGAAGTAATCAAGAACTTTTGGACTACCAAGTATTTGTCAGAAAAGTAGGGTTTGTCGTTTTCTTTGCTGGTTGGTAAAGAGTCCTCTCATCTTTTTTCTTCATTTCATGAGAAAGAAGAACACTAATTTCCCACCGTACAGAATTAGTCTATGTTTTTCTCTCTCATAATATTACTACTAGTCATGTTTTGAGGAAAATAAGAGGATCTAAATCCGTTGATAAATGAGTTTGACAAAAGCGTTAAAATAAAATAACTCAATTTGAGAGGGCTTATGCAGTATAGATAGACGTTACTAAAAAAATAAAACAGCGTCAGTGGCAGTGCAACAAGGTTGGCAAAGAATCGCATGTGTTCAGTTGGCAAAGCAAATAGTGGTAGCTCAATTGGCGCATGGGAGCTAAGTAGGTGAGGGTGAGAGCATGTGCTCGAATCTTCCCAGTATCACATTTGGAAGGAGTTTAAAGCCTTAATTCTGGACCCGTCCCGAATCAGATTAGTTGCGAAACAATGAACTTATTAGAATA